ATATTTAGTTTCCTTCTTGCACAATAATATCTAGAATGTTTTGGTTATTTAATATTTAATTGTTTCAATTAGTTTCCTAGGTAGATTAGAATTAGTAGTAATTAGGATCTATAAATAGGGATCATCCCTCATTGTTTTTCATGTCTTGGATTTGATGAAATAGAAAAGGAACGTTTGTTCGAAACCGTGTGTTAGGGTTCGTGAGAATTCGATCATGCAACCGAATTGGTGAGGCTAAGACCCAATCCAGTTCAACGATTTAGAGAGGCTAAGACCCGATCTATTTCGAGAGTATAGCGAGGCTAATACCCGAGTGAACTCAAGTATCGTGAGAGAGTTAGGCTAATAACCGAGTCGATCACACCTATCGTCGAGAGCAAGGCCGTGGCGAAGCCGTGATCGAGACAAGTCGAGGGAACGCAACACCCGATTCGTCATCATTGGTGCTTTCATTGAGAGTGATCGATTGGGTGTTCGTGAACTTTTCCTATCCCTTTCTTTTTATTTTTGTTCGATTTTTTGAGTCTTTTGTGTTCGAATTTTTTTCGTATTTTTCTCCAAAAGTTTTGAAAAATTTCGTGAGTATAAAAAAAAAAAGAAAAAAAGTGTCATCTAGTCCTTTTGTTTGATTTTTTTTTGTTATTACCTTTTGTTGAGGGGCCGAATTTCTCTTCTTTTTGGGTCAAAATTTTTGAAATTCTTGTTCGAATTTTTCATTAATTTTTCGAATTTTTTTAGAGTCTTAAAAAAAAAAAATTATTATGTCTTATGAGTCAATGGACGAGATGCACATGGGCGCGCGAGTGGAGTCCGGACACGGGCAGGGACCTAAGCCTCGGGGGCTTAGGCATGCGGGAGGTACACGCACGTGATGGCACGCGCGTACGAGACGGACAACCCAGGCCGCGCTGGACTAGGAGTAGCGGGGGCGGTGGCCAGCGCGTGCGAGACGGACGAGGTGCGTGATGCCTCGCGCGCCAAGGAATAGGCAACACAGGTCGGCGGCGCGCATATGAGGCGGCCGAAAATAATTGAGGCGTGTGATTTGGAATTGTTTGGAGTGCAAGCCAAGCAAGATCAAGATCTAGTCAATTTAGGACTCTAGATATTCAGTTTCCTTCTTGCACAATAATATCTAGAATGTTTAGGTTATTTAATATTTAATTGCTTTAATTAGTTTCCTAGGTAGATTAGAATTAGTAGTAATTAGGATCTATTAAATAGGGATCATCCCTCATTGATTTTCATGTCTTGGATTTGATGAAATAGAAAAGGAACGTTTGTTCGAAACCGTGTGTTAGGGTTCGTGAGAATTCAATCATGCAACCGAATTGGTGAGGCTAAGACCCAAGCCAGTTCAACGAATTAGAGAGGCTAAGACCCGATCTATTTCGAGAGTGTAGCGAGGCTAATACCCGAGTGAGCTCACGTATCGTGAGAGAGTTAGGCTAATAACTGAGTCGATCACACCTATCGTCGAGAGCAAGGCCGTGGCGAAGCCGTGATCGAGACAAGTTGAGGGAACGCAACACCCGATCCGTCATCACAGCGCCCCAGCGCACGCCAGCGCGCACGCACAGCGCCCCAGCGCAGCGGCCCAGCACCCCAGCACCCGCATCCCAGCACCTAGCGCCCCCAGCACAGTGCCCAGCGCCCGTGCGCACCACCAGCCGCTCCCAGCCGTGCACGACCGTACCAGCGAGCATCCCGGGGCCTGACCCAAGCTCTTCTTATAATTTTTCCCGAACCCTTATGTGTGCCTTTGAACTGTTTGACTTTGTTTAGTGTGCTTGGACTATATGTGTTATAAATATGCATTTTGGTCAAGTCTAGATGTAGGACCTAAGTGTTCCAATATCCACGGAACTTCACGAACTCCTTGGTTGAATCAAGTTCGACCAATGTATGCTTGTGATTGTTCTCTAAGGTCAAGTAGGTGTTGATCTTAGTATTAATTATTGTAGGTGTCTGACGAGCCGTGCTCGCTGCCTACTCCCGTTGTGTGCCATATTCCTTTGTTGTACCAGGTGGTTTTAATCTAAAATTTGCTATGCCATACATGTTTATTATAATGTTGAATTGGTATGATTGTAGTATGTACGTAAACCATGTAGCCTATCGGCGTGAGCCGATTTGGCCGTCGGTACGGTTGTCCCCGTCGATGTAATACGGTTACCTGCAAGGTAAGTCTCCGTAAGACCTAATGAAAGGCTGTGCCTTGTCGTAATGCACGTACCCCCATGAGTTAGGGTAATGAATCCCCTTTCCTTGGCTAATGAAAGATGTGTACACGTGGGTATTATGTTGTGATGTGATTAGGAGACGTGACAAAGTAATTGTTTTATGTTCATACTCTAACCATACCTTATCTTCATTAATATGTTGTGATATATGTGCATAGTGGTGAGCACGCTTTTCATCTTGTGCTCATCCCAACTTGCTCTTCACCGATGCAGGTTAAGCAGGAGCTGGGTGACGAGAAGAGGCGAGTGGGTCGGTCATTTATTTATGCTTGTTATTGCTTCCGTTTGATTAATAAGGTTTCATGAACCTTTATGATGAGATTTGACTAAACTATTTTCCAGAACTTATGACTTGTGTGTTTTTGGAAAAATTTATGGAACCCTAATGTTAGGTATTATGGTTTGATTATATATTCGTGTTAAGAATTGTGCCTCGTGATATGTTCGGTTAATGAAAACCATTTGCGAAAACCGGGTAATGAATCCCCGTAAGCCCAGATAAGACTTGGGTTATGAAAATGTTGATTAACACCCATAAAATTTCAAAAATGATCTCGAAAAATTTTATACTGATTTTTGGAAAGTCCGGAATTTCTTTACAATCAAAGTGGGGTGTTACAGCCATTCACAAAGGTGAAACCTTTTGGAGTCGAGGTGGCCAACGGAGATACACTTCGAGGAGCTCTGCTTTTCAAACGAGTAAAGATGGAAGCTCAGGGTCATAAGATGAAAGTTGATCTATATGCCTACCATTGAAGGCAACTGATGTGGCACTTGGATGTCAGTGGTTGGAGACTCTTGGTCCAATCACAACTGATTATTGGAAAGGAACTATGGAGTTTGGGTGATCGAATAAGCGAATCAAGTTGATAACCGAAGATCCAGGGGAGTCACCCGATGATGATAAAGACGATAGGCGAGTCCACAAGCTTAACTTCATCATCCTTAAGGACAGGACAGTCTTGAACAGGACGGGAATGATATGAAAGTGGTTATTAACCCTGGCGAGTCTGAGGATGAGACCAGCAACGATCTCGATATTTGGCTAGAGAACATGCTCGAGGAACCACATGGAGGGGATTATCGACCTTCTTGTAGGCGAGATTGGCCGAGAGGTTGTTGTATCGAGGACAAGGTCAAAGAGGCGCAAGGCCAAGCGAACTAAGCGTCCACACAAGGCGAGGACTAACGTAGTGGGTAATAGGTGCGGGCCTTGTGAAAGGAAGCGATGTGCTTTGCAAATGCTGGTCATAAGGCAAATGGGCGAGCGGCGCGCATCGGGCCTTGATGCGCGCAATGGGCCGACATGCGGCAACGTCGCGCCTTGGGCGTGGGGCGAACGAGGGGCATCGCTGGGCGCATGGGGGTGCACAGTAGGCGATTGGCACGCGGGCGAAAGCCTAGGCCTTGCGGGCCTAGGAATGGCGAGCGTGAAACAACACGCGCGCGAGGAAGACAGTGGGCGCACGGCGCGCGTGATGCGGAAGTGGCTAGGCAGCTCAAGAACGCCACAATTCGAGCCTACCATGCACGAAGGAGACAAGCACGGGTGACGGCGGAAGTACGCGCATTAACAGGCGAGAATGGGCCGCGCACGGATATGCGCACAGATGGCGTGCATGGCGAAAACGGGCAGGACGCGCAGGCCGCGGTGCTGGCCAACGCGATCGCGGAAGGTTCGCGTGGTGAGAAAGCACGCGCATCCTCATACCTCGAGGTATGCGGAATGGTGGGAAGTCACGCGCGCGAGGAGGCAGCCGGGGGCGAAAGCGCGCGCGATACGCTGGACGGGGCAGCACGCGCGATTCGCGAGGCCATACTCCTAGAGGAATGCGGAGTGGCGCAACAGCACGCGCGGTAGGGCAACCAGCGGCATGGGCGTGCGCGACACGCTGAGCGGGTGTGCACGCGCGGAAGAGTAAGGCGGTGGCGGTGCGCCAAAGGCGGTGCGCGCGAGGGGCCGAAGGCTAGAGGCGGTGGAAGACTTGGAGTGCACACCAAGATAATTAGTTTCCAACTAGAATTATAATTAGGACACTTAATATTTTATTGCTTTATTTGATCCCTAGGTAGATTAGGCTTAGATATAATTTTGTGCCTATATAAAGGCCCTTACCCCATGTTATTTTTCATCATCCAAGAAATCAATAAAAAACTAAAACTTTGTTCTTCCAACTTTGCTTTAGTCTTTTCACCAAAATACTATAGCAATTTTATTCGTTTCAATAGGCGCTGTTGTGGCTAGAGAAACACTATCGGCGATTCAAGGCGCGGGTTAGCGGCTTATCGGTAGTCGAAACACATGATCCTCATCATTGGTGCCTTCATTGAGAGGTGTTGATCGTGTGTTTTTCTTCTACCCTATTCCCCTTCTTTTTCTTTTCTATTGTTCGTCCCCCTATCAAAAAAAAAAAACAATAATAATAATATATATACATAAATATTTTCGTCCATCATCATCATCATCATCTCAACCACGAGTCCCACAAAGAAAAGAGCGGAGAGAAGAAAGAAAAGCCATGGCCAACAAGGAGATGAAGGACAAGATCGATAATCTCGATGTCCAATTCCGCGGCATGAGCGAAGCTATTGATAGGTTGGGTGAAGGACTCGACAATACCAAGTCAACGGTGCAAGATCTAATGGAAACCATGAACCGGCGATTTGATGAGATGGCGCGCACGGTTCTAGCTCGCCTACCACCGCCGCGGCAACGCGATCAAGCGCGACAGCACGACCGCAAGCGGCCTGAAGGAGAGGATCGGCGGCGCGAGGAGTATGAGCGCGAGGATGACCTCGATCGACAGTCCCAGGTGTCCACCAACCGCGATCAGCGTGCACCCGACAAACCGCGCATCACGTTGTCCACATTCACGGGCAGTGATCCAGACGCATGGTTCAATAGGGCGACGCAATATTTTGAGCTCAATGAAACCGACGGTATAGATCGCGTCACGTATGTCGCTCATTATCTCGATGGTGAGGCCAATGTATGGTGGCAATGGCTCACAAGGATTTATCGAAAGCGACAGCAAATCATCACTTGGGAAGTTTTTGAAAGAGAGTTGCTTACACGGTTTGGTACATCTGATTACCACAACTACAACGAGGCTCTCACATGCATACGACAGACAGGTAGCCTACGCGAGTACATCAGGGAGTTTGAGCGGTTGGCCTGCCGCGTACGTGATTGGCCCGAAGATGCGTTGGTCGGAGCGTTTGTAGGAGGGTTAAAATTTGACCTAGCTACAGAGGTCCGACTCGAAAGGCCAGACACCATGCACGATGCGATGGAGGTTGCCCGACGACGCGAAGACCACCTAGTCGCTACGCGAAGGGGACGGGCGGATATGCGATTCGCGGACACACGACGCGCGGGATCGAACCAAGCCACGGTCAGCGCACGACCGAACGTCAGCAATCGGCCAGCAGGGGCGATAGTGAGGCGGCTGTCCCCCGAAGAAGTTAAACATCGACGTGAGAAAGGCCTCTGCTTTAAGTGTGAGGAGAAGTTTACTCCCAGTCATCAATGCAAACAGGCCTTTGTAATAGAGGTGGCCAACCCCGACGATGAGGAAGCTGTGGTCGAGGAGGAACTACACCAGGAAGAGGAGATTGAAGCACTCCATGAGGAGCCTGAGATCTCGATGCATGCAATGGCTGGAATCAGAGGACCAAGGACGATGCGTCTACCAGCATGGGTCAGGGACCGTCGTGTAGTCGTGCTCGTAGACAACGGTTCGTATTATAACTTCATCAATACTGAGTTGTCTGAAAAGCTGAAGTTGCCAACCACAAAAATCAAACCCTTCGAAGTCCGAGTAGCCAATGGAGAAAGGTTACAATGTACTGAGTCGTTCCGGAAGGTGCCAATCAAGTTTAACGGAGTAACTGTGAAGGCTGATCTTTACGCCTTACGTTTAGTTGGACCGGATGTCGTTCTGGGGGTTCAATGGCTCGAGGGGTTAGGTAGGGTGACTACCGACTATCGAACAGGAATTATGGAATTCAACTCTGGAGGTCGACAAGTCACTCTGAGTATTGGCACCGAAAAGGGTACTAAGGAAGTAGGGCTGAAAAGCATCGAAAGAGTATGGGAGGTGGCGGCCAAATATTTGCAGTAGTGGTCGGAACACTAAGGCGCACATAGACCGAGATGAACAACATCAAGGTGATGTGCGCGAACTTCTCGAGGGATTCGAAGGAGTACTGGGCGAGCCTAAGGGACCGCACCGAGAGTTCGATCATCGCATACCACTGATTAATGTGCAGCATGCCATACATGTCCATCCTTATAGGTACGCTCACTTTCAGAAAACCGAGATCGAACGACAAGTTGTTGAGATGCTCAAATCAAGACTAATCTAGCATAGCAAGAGCCCATTTTCTTCTCCAGTCTTGTTGGCCAAAAAGAAAGACGGCACGTGGAGGTTCTGTACGGACTACCGGGCTTTGAACGCTGCAACTATCAAGGACCGATTTTCTATCCCTAGCGTTGACGACATGCTCGATGAGTTAGCCGGGTCCCGCTAATTCTCAAAGCTCGACCTGAGAGCTGGTTACCATCAGATTCGACTCCAGAAGGCCGACATTCCAAAGACAGCTTTTCATACACACCAAGGGCACTATGAGTATTTGGTCATGCCCTTCGGATTGTGCAACGCCCCATCCACTTTCCAGTTCGCTATGAATCCTATCTTCAAAGAGTATCTATGTAAGTTCGTTCTGGTATTCTTTGATGATATCCTAATCTATTCGAAGTCGTGGGGTGTACATCTTGGGCATTTGAGAGTAGTGCTCGAAATTTTGGAGGCCAACTCATTCCACATCAAACCATCCAAATGTTCATTTGGGCAGAAGATGGTTGAGTATCTAGGGCACTTCATATCACATGAGGGCATGAAGGTTGATCCACGAAAAATTGAGGCTATGGTTGATTGGCCTAAACCAACAAGTCTCACGCGGTTGAGAGGATTTCTAGGACCCACGGGCTACTACAGAAAGTTCGTGAAGGATTATGGAACCATCGCCAAGCCATTGACAGAGATGACTAAGAAAGGAGGGTTCACGTGGACCGAAGCTAGCGAGAAGGCGTTTGGGAAACTAAAAGAAGCCATGACTACAATGCTAGTGCTCGCCATGCCCAGGTTCGATGTCTTGTTCGAGGTACACACCGATGCAAGTGACACTGGGATTGGAGTTGTATTAGTGCAAGAGGGACGACCCTTAGCTTATCTCAGCAAGGCCCTAGGCACTACGCGATTGGGTCTATCAGTGTACGTAAAGGAGATGCTAGCAGTTGTCGAGGCTGTAAGGTGCTGGAGGCCTTATCTATTAGGTCGACGTTTTCAGATTGTTACCGACCAGCAACCGCTTAAGCATTTACTGGAGCAAAGGATTGTGACCCCCGAGCAGCAGAAGTTCATGTCTAAACTTATGGGGTTTGACTTCGAGATAATCTATCGACCGGGTCGACAGAATGCAGTAGCTGATGCACTATCCCGACGAACAGATGTAGCCGAGCTGAATGCTATCACTGGGCCAACTTGGACAATTTGGGAAGAAATCAGGAAGGCGCAAGTAGAGGACACCTATTGCCAGGAGCTGCGTCAATCAATAGAAGCAGGTAAGACAACTGCTATCGACTACGAGTTGCATAATGGTCTGCTTCTACACCGAGGTCGAGCCTACGTTCCTGACAGTGGGCAGTTACTTGAGCAGATCATGCAGCACTTCCATGACTCTGAAATTAGGGGCCATTCGGGTATCTACCACACATGGATGAGAATAGCCAACACTTTCTTCTGGCCCGGACAACAGAATACCGTTCGAGATTACATAGCACGGTGTGATGATTGTCAGCGCACTAAGTCTGACTCACGACGACCGAGCAGGCTGTTACAACCTCTACCGGTACCCGAGGCAATCTAGGAGGACATTACTATGGATTTCATAGAGGGGTTACCGAGTTCTAATGGGTTCGACGGTGTTATGGTTGTAGTGGATCGTCTCACAAAGTATGCTCACTTCATACCCATTACCCATCCTTACACCGCAAAGTCAATTGCCAGGCTTGATGTGCTTTTGCGCACTGGACCGGTCTCCCTCGAGTCCCAACCGCTTGAGCCCTTCAACACCTGCAAAGACGCCGGGAAGTGCTCCCGGCGGTAAACCTCCGACGCTCAAGTTAGTAGGGTATCGATGAGAACACAGATTTGTATATTAGGGTTTTTTGTAATGCTCTTACCTTTCATCATACATGATCACCTATTTATATATGATGTTCTAGCTTCCTTTGTACGCTTTTTTCTTCGTTCCTTAGATCATCTATTCTTTTAGTCATCGGGACCCTACACGTGTCCTCTCCGGGTCCATTTGATAACCATAACACCTGCTCCGTTCCCGGCCCACTTATAGGCCAAACAATGCATATAGTCGAGCCATATTTGGGCCGAGCCCATTCATTACCAGATCACAGCATCTGCTCAACCCAATACACCTGATCGAGCTAACATCGGGCTGAGCCCCTTCACTACCATTACTGTCGGCTCAGCCCACAAACATCCTTCCGGCTCACAGACCGGGCTGATTTCCGTCGGTCTACCCAAATATTCTCCTATGCTATATCATCTAGTCCCCCCATTATCAAACGAGCTATGCTGTCGCTTCCTTAGATAGACTTGTTTGATAATTAATCCAAAAAAAATTATAACCCGAAAAAGAATAGAGCTCCTCTCGTAACGTAATACCCGGTATTAGCCGAGCCGATTATGTCCAACGCTCTAGCCAAGATATCCGCAATGTCATAGAGACCGAATGGCTTTCCTTTTAGCCCCATGACCGAGCAGATGCTATTTTCGTTAAATTCTCGGACGAGCGGATATTATTTTTAGCCTCATGACCGAGCAGATTATTCTAATAATTTTATCCGCTATATTTTTTGAGCAGATTAGTGCTACCATCTACATTTACACGTGACCGAGCAGATGACCAATTCAACCTATGTCATTGTGCAATTGCATCTTGTCTCTTGTCTTGTCTCTTGTCATGTCTTATGTCACAAGCCACAATGATATATATAAAACCATCTGCTCCCTTTTGTGCTTAGGGCCATGTGCCTAATGTGATCATAAACCATTATGATATATAAATCCATCTGCTCCTTTTTGTACTTGGGCCATGTGCCAAATATTATTCATAGTTCCCATATCTGCAAGGTTCAACCGAACAGATGACGTGAAATTTATTGAGCAGATTGATCCATCTTCGCCCATATCATCGGGCCACACAATCTTTACCCGTTCATGCAGATGAATCTGCTATATTTACCGAGCAGATGGACCCCACGCATCCGAGCAGGTGAATTTGCTATGTCAATCGGGCAAATAAATTTGTACCCGTCCGAGCAGGTGAAGCTACTATGTCGACCGAGCAGATGGATTTCACCTCCTCGTGCGAGCATATTGCTATGCACCCGTCCGAGCAGATGAATCTGCTACGCGAAAAGACATCTCGGGTACTGTACCCAGCTGTCATTATGTCTCATTATGACTCCTCGGTTCCCGCGCATAATGCTTGCAGAATGACCCTTTGATTTATTGTAGACCAACAGTTCCATCCTAGCTTCCATAAATAAGTCTATCCACCTACTACCCCCTTCATACCTTTTTAACTTTCTATCAATTATTTTTTACACAGAGAAATCACCCCTCTGCAGTCGCTCCTCCTCCATCAACGACCACCATTTTTTCCGACGACCCGCGCGGCGCACCATGGGTAAGTGCTTCGTCTATATTTATTCTCTATATGCAGCATATTTATTTACACGCACCGAAACTGGCTCTCGCGATCGGCTTGTCTCCAAATTTGAGTTTTGAGTTCTGAATTTGGACAATTTGACAGTCCACGGGCTGTACTTGCGTGCCCCAAAAATTGGTCGTTAAATTCGATTGTCTGCATCCCTATTTATTGAACCTCCATATATGGTCGTGCCATCCACCTCGATACCCTACTCTTCGAATTTTCCCCTACTGTGATCTCACACAATTGCGTGATTTGTGCGGCTGTTATACTCAAACCCCGCTGAAATTTCCCCCTTTTTTTTTAGATATCGAACCGCTGGAGGTTATGTCCACTTCCTCGGATTCTGGACATCCTGACCCCGACTCGAGCTCTTCGGGTGAAGAGCTCATTGTGTACACCGCGGCATCAAGTGTTAGAGGTATGCTGTAAAAGCTGTGTTTTGCAGTTTCTATCAATTCCATTTTGATCTGGCAATCATGTTTCGGTTAAAGTACATATGTTTGCAGTTTATTTATTTATGCAATGCATACTCCATGTCTTATATTGAGATAGTGTGGTTCGAAGAGTTTTGAACGGAAAGATCACCTATCGGTTCCTTATAAGACTAAACTATTCGTTCACAGTCTAGACTGGCAGTGAGACCCCACTTGGAAAAAGACTGTAGTGTATTCCCGATTCAGTTGGTCTTTGACTGAAGGATTACACTAGCACTTATGTTAAGTGTTGAACAGGACCACGGAAGGATAAGGATATGAGACTCACTGACCGTTGTCGTAACCTAGACCTTCAGTGATTGATGCGTTCTCTTAAGCTGTAAAATAATATAAAATAGGCATATATTATTATTTCTTATTTATTTGATTTACCAAGTGATTCCTATTCTGTTAGGATGACATACGAGGTATTTTGGTAAGTAAGAATAATTATATGATGTGCTATTATAGATTATTTACAGTCACTATGTTCCAGTGAGCTGGATTGATGACGTCCCCGAAATGAGCTCAGAAAGGAACCTTATGTTAAACCCTGCAGGTAGATGATTGTCTGACATAATGGTTAAAGGCTGAGTGGTACTAATTTCTGAAATGAATAAGAAGTTGATTATTTACTTTGTCAGTAATTTAATTAATCAACGGACGTTATATCTTAAACATAGGGAGGTAAATCGATCAATCAGATTAATATTATCTAATCATGGAGGCTCGATTTTATTGGTAAAATAGTGGCTAAATGGGGAGAACAATAATATTACTCTAGTGGGATG